CCTGCCGATACCCGCAGTGCTTTTGTCCCGCTCCTGTCACACTCGGCATCAAGATGCCAAGACGTGATCAGGGTTGGCAGGTGGAGGCTATTTTCCACCCCCATGCACCAATTACAGTCCCAGTGCCATTCAATTTATTGTTTCCTTCCTGTTCCAGTACGAGGCTCTTGTGTTTGCTGCCTTGTTTGTCTTTGTCAGCTCCACCCAGGAGGTATCAGAGGGCGTAAAGGCAGCGAAGTCCACGTTAGACTGATAATACCAGAACCTGTCAGGAACTCAGCCACTCCTGCCGGTGACAGGCTGAAATACTGAAATACTTCAGAGGCTCGTGCTAGTTTTCCACTGTCTGACTTCAAAATACACCGCGACAACCCCCCCCCCCCAAACAAAAACCCCCCCCCCCCCAAGAAAAAAAAAAACAACAAAAAAACCCCACAAACCCTACAGAAGGGTCTAAACAAAAAAGGGCGAAGTTGTACTGGAGTCTTGGGAGTTATGAAGTGCAAATTGAAGAACGCTCAGACGTCGTCTCATGCAAGGGGACACTGGTGACAAGAGGGCGTCCTTAAGGACACCCAAATTCATGTCATCAGGGCTCGGGAAACACCCAGTCCGAGCCCTCGCCATGGGACTGGCACCAAACCTTTGCCTCGTGTGGATTTAGCAGTAAAAAGGCAAGTACAAGTTATGTTAGAAAGGGGAGTTGCTTTCTCTGAAACGGTACCCTTGATGGCATGATAATAGAGTAACACCTCTGGTTTCCTCCCACACCTTCGTTGCTCAAGCCAGTAGCAGCTATGGAAGCTGAGAAAAGAGACAGAAAAGCTCCCCGGAAGGAAACCATCCTGATAATAACAAACCTGAACGAGAGGTGCTAATTTACACCGTGACGCAGAACACGGCACAGTGAACCAGGGACTCCCCTCCCTTGTCTCTCTCATCACACCCAAGTACAGTCAGACCTACCTGAGCAATCTGGCACCTCAGAACTCAAAAATTTGATACAAACCTCCCAGAAATGCAGGTGCCACCGAACCAGGGAGCGAATATCTACAATCAGTTACCCAAATGAGGCAGGGAAGGAAGGAAGGAAGGAGGGCTCATTACCAACCCCTCACCTCCACGGAGACTTCTGCTCACCTGAGGGCCCGGCTCAACTTGTCGTAGTTCATCTGGGGTTTGCATTTTCTTCTCCCCCACAGCCGGGCCACTTCGTCAGGGTCCTTGATGACAAACTCCCCGTACTCGCCCTGCTGCCAGGCGATGACATGGCGAAACTCTTCCTTTTGCAGCAGCTCCAGGATGAAATGCCATAACTGGATCTGTCGGGAGCCGGGGCTCGACTCGGTCTTGTAAGCCCACTCTGGGAAATGATAACCTTGGAAAGGGCCAACAAAACCCCAGAAAAATTCATTCAGACAGGAAAAGGAGCTCACAACTGCCAAGTTCTACGTGTTTTCTCCAGAGCGAGACCACAGAGCATCGCTGGGGGCTGTAATTCTATTAAACGTTCAACGTGGAAGCAGAGAAGCCTGGCTCTCCTACTCTAACTGCTCATTTTCTTATTCCTTTTAGTCCCCTCTCCTTGGAGGATCCCCCCCAAACACCACACAAAAAGAAAAAAGGTAAAATTGAAAGGGGCACAAGCGTGAGAAGCAGCGGAAAGGAGCCCAAAAGCTTTAGACATCGCCACAATTTGGATTCCAGGTGGCTGAAATAAAGCAAGTAATTCAGATTTGAGCATTTGGTGCGCTGATGTTGGGGCGGGGGGTGAGGGCGGAGAGCTCTCAGTGACTCCAGCTCCCTCTTATTTCAGAGCACGGCAGCTTCAACTGCGCCGGCAGATGTTTCTGAGCGACTGCCAACTTCAGCTTTCTCAGAATAGTTTCCCAGCACAACTACTAACGCGAGGGTTTTTTGTTGTTTTGGTGTTGTTTTTTTTTTTCTCCTCTCTCCAAATCATTGTGGCCACAATTTCAGGCTCTGGCAGCATGGAAGAAGTCGTATCACTCTCCAACGCCACCCACACCACTATCATAAGCTGCGACAGAGACAAAACCAGGCACGAGCTGTACCAGATCAGAAGGGATCCACCTTAAGAGATCCCAAAGCCTTACGAATAAAACATCTCCGGGAAGATTTATTTGCATATTAAACCCGGCGCTCTTAAAAACTCGCCGACAGCCCATCGACCGGGCGTCTGATCGATCCTCACTCACACGCAGCTTTTGCCCACGTACGAGAGCTTTTGGGAGAGGTGGAATTAATCCCTCCTGAGCTGTTTTATCCTGAGAAAAGAATTCATAACAGCTGAACAACTCAGCCTTTAGACTTCCTTACCTCCTCCTCCTTCTGGCTTATCCACAATACTGCAGCCTGCTTTCATTTTCTCCCTCCTGCTGACTGCGAAACAGAAGGAAATCGGCATCAGCGACATCGACACGCCATTATCGTGAGAGGCACTTGGAATTTCACCAGAGAGGCCACCTCGAACTGTAACCCTGCCCGTCCCCAGAGATGCTGCCTGGGGTCTCCCTGACTGTAATCATCCCCCTTTATTTTTTCTACCCCG